TAATGGACCCTTCCCTGAAACTTAACAATCATGTAAACATGATTGTTAAATCATGCTTCTTCCAACTGAGGCGGCTGTCTAAACTGAAGCACATATTGTCCAAAAATGACCTGGAGACAGTCATACATGCATTCATTACATCCAGGCTTGATTACTGCAATTCGCTCCTGTTTGGTATCAGTCAGACCTCCATTGCACGACTACAACTGGTCCAGAATGCAGCAGCCCGATTTTTAACCAGTACAGGCAAAAGAGAGCACATTACACCAGTTTTGGCCTCACTGCACTGGTTACGGTTCACTTTCGAATCCAGTTCAAAATACTCATGTATGTCTACAAATCACTGAACAGTGTTGCACCCCCCTATCTCTCTGATTTGCTACAACCGTATGTCCCACCACATTCCCTGAGGTCAGCGGACCAGTTGCTCCTCACAGTTCCAGGAACTCGTCTTAAGCGCAGAGGTGACAGGGCCTTCTCTGTAGCAGGACCAAGACTCTGGAACGAGTTACCTCTGCTTGTCAGACAGGCCCCCTCCCTCTCGATTTTCAAGTCCCGTTTAAAAACTCACTACTATTCAATAGCTTTCAACACAAGATGATCTGTGTTTTGATCCTATATGCTTCACACTGGTTTGTCGTAATTATCTGCATCGTTTTTTGTCTATATTCTGATTTACCTCATTTTGTATTTTGCTTTGTGTGTTACCTGTTGTTTTGTCTGTACAGCACTTTGGTTGGCCTTGTAGCTGTTTTAAGTGCTTTATAAATAAAGTGGTATGGTATTACTCTGGGTTCATGAGACACGCCGCCGTTCAGGAAATCCATTCCGTAGTTTGAAGCCAATATGCATCATGGATCGGAAATATCGGCAGGTGGTTCAGAAAAATTCGATACATAAATTATGCTGGTATCGAAGGCCAATACCAATACTGGATCGGATCGGCCCCATCCCTATAAGAAACATCATATTCTTTATTCATCATATTCTGTCATGGTGTCTCAGCAGCTACTGTAATAAAAATAATTCAAACCATCATCTCCTACGTTATGACAACCACCACAACAAAAAGGCAACAAAGACGAGCTCTTTAGAACAGAGTACACTGCCTTTCCTACATCGTGCTGTGGGACTCTTCATCTTTTCTACTAGAACAAGGTACAACATTTGATGGAGCCATGGTTACACTTGAAAGACATTTTGTCTCCAAGATTAGAATACTGGCATACGTACAAAAACTGCAGTTCAATATGATATGCTCAAAGCTTTGGCTGCACCATTTAAGTCAGATTAATTTAAATTCAGTTTACCATCAGCTGCCTCTACAACCTGATCTTATTGCTTTCACGACACACAAGGGGCTTTTATGGTTCAGAAAAGGTCCTTTTGGACTTGCTTTAGTACCACCTGCCTTCCTAATAATGAGACAAACAGCTCTGAAAGATCTCCCAGGACTAACTGGATTACATTATAGTGAGTGGGAACTCCATTCATGATAAACGCATACAAGTTGTCCACCAGCACCTTAAAGATGAAGGAACTACCAGTCAACTTCAACAAAAGCTCACATGGTCAGTCCAGTATTTCATTCAAATTAAATTCAATTCAAATATACTTTATTAATCCCAAAGGGAAATTAATTGTTGTTGTAGCTCATCTTGGTTTCATTAGAGTTGTTCTAGATGCTGATGTCTTTGGGCAGGAAGAATCTCTTGTAGCAGTCCGTCCCACAGCGGATCCAAAGAAACTGGCTACAGATGTCAATCCGTCCACCCAGACCCAGCAGACCTCTCGGTCCTCTTGGGCAGCAGAACTGCCTGAATGTCAAGCAGAACTTCTGCCTGAGCGATGGCCATTTCTCCCAGCAGCCTGCCAAGCCCCTTGTTGCTGCAAACTTAACTGCAGGTGCCGGGGGACGATCTCGGTCCTCACGTTGTCACAAGCTATGTTTCCTGCTACCTCCAAGATCTCTGCAGTCAGGTGCTTGAGCACTGCCTCCAGGTAGACGGGAATGCATCCGCAGCCCCTCCTTTTCAACTCATTTGGGATTTGGGGTTGTAGTTGAGATTTGAGCTTTTGAGATGTTAATCAGCAGCTCCCAGTAGTAGAAAACCACCCTGTTGTTATGGTTACGCATCATTACAAATGCCCAAAAGTAAAAAAGGTATTAGTAAAAATCCTGCCTCCAGCACAGCATCTGATACCAGAGGAAGTAATCATCCGAAAAAATCTATTTGCATTCAGAAAAAAAGAGTAATTAAAGTTTTCAAAAGCAAAATCTCAGAATGAATGTGAGAGCTACTCCAACATGCAGCCACCTTGAGCGGCGCAATTCTGGAATTCCTGGGTCGTGTCATGTCTTAGGAGAGCCTGCACTCCAGTCCAGATCACCTGAATGCCATCGCTGAATCTCCAGCATCAAAAGATGTGGCAACTCTTTGGTTTTTAGATGGGAGCAGCAATCCCCTTTGGACTCCACTCAGATTAACATTTAACTCACTAATTCAGCTGGAATTAAACTACTTCTCTAACCTGAGGTTGTCCATAGAGCTATCGTCAACAGGTAAGATCATTATTGTTACACAAAACCCAGCTTCAAAATATCTGAACTACCATTTTAAAGCATTAAAGGTTAATTAGATCCACAACAGTTTGGATTCTGTCAGGAAAAATTCTGCAAATATTAAAGTAATGCTCAGTCTTCTGTTTTTTTTTCCTTTAAGAATTCTTCACTTCCAGTTTGTTTACTCAATTCATGTCCTTCAGTCAGTTCAACCTTTTTGCAAATGTCAGCTACCGCTCATAGAGATCACACCCCGAGTTAAAATAGTCATTTTACAATGTCCTCTCCAGGGCGAGGACAGGCAGCTCAGGGATCACAGGGCAGTTGCCAAACCACCAGCTCATGCGTGGATCAGCTTTCATGAATTTACACGCACGCTGGAGCAGAACCGTCCACACATAGCTGCTCAGACCACACCTGTTATCGGGTGGAGCTTCACAGAGGCACCGACAAGTTGCACTGATCAAACTACATGGATCTGAAGTCCCACAAAATCAACTTAATGCACAATTACCATTCATAAACATTAGTAGATTAAAATAAAACAGAACAACGCCTTATTTTTACAGTAATAAGCAGCCACTTTCAATAATGTTGCTCTGGTTTGGAGCACCTTGCAAACATAGAATTTTTTATTTTATTTTTTTAAACTATTTTTTCCAACATAAAAATTATGTGCCACAAAAATGTGCATTGAAACCTGTGCACTACACATGAAGAAGAAGAGGCGCCTGCGTCACGGGTTAGATTAGAGGTAAGGCTGTGACATAGTCTTTTACAAAATTTATGTTTTGGTTTCAAGATTTATATATTTTATCTAGAACTTGTTCACATTTTATTACCAAAAGTCACAGCTCAGGAGCTTTAAATTTAATGTTTGACATTAAAAACATACATAAAAGCTGTCCAGATATTTTGAAAGGTTCTATGGAATCATTGTGCGCAATTAATATCTTATCTGTCACAGCTAGCCCCTTCAACACCTCAGTTTGGAGAAATAGAGTTAAATTCGGACACGGGCGGTGAGCTGAAGGTAGTCTGTGTGAGTCTGAGAACAAAGTGGATTACAGCTGTCATCGCGGCTCTTTATTTGAGCTCTGTTTAATAAACTTTTACACTATTCTTATTTTTACAATGTAGGGGTATTCTGACAACAAAATCATGATATTCTTATTGGAAGTGTCCAAGGCAGTACAGGAAATGCCCCAGCTAGCTGCTACTGTCAATATTTATACTTGTAAATAACCATAGTGAGTGATGCAATGCAAAACGGACGGTAGTGTTAAGGTTTATAAAATATCCAACATTGTTCAGTCAGGTCATCTGGACAGCTCTTTTTTTTAAAAGATGTTTCGCCCTCCATCTGAAGGGCTTCATCAATCTGAGAAGTCACAAACAAATTGTTTCCCCCACTAAGCAGTACAGTGGACCAACCAGTTTGCTGGTGATAAGATGGTTTCTGGGGGCTGTCCTCTACTCCGTCGACTCCTCCCAGGCAGCCACAACCAAAATGGTCCAAGACATGTTTATAAAATATATTATATAAAAACTGCTATAAAAGAAACTACAGTTATTTTAAGATGTCAGACAGGCAATTTGGCCAAATAGCTCTTTAATCTGGTCTGAATTAAACTCTTTATCCAAACTCAGGTCATTCAAGAGCCATCTACAACAGGTAAGATATTAATTCTTCACAACATGGTCTTCATATTTCTAACATAAACAGGTCTCATTTGTAAATGAGTCTTCGATGCTCCATGTTATTTATCTATATAAATAAAGGTTGAGGGCAGCACGGTGGCACAACTTGTAGAGATGCTGCCTCTCAGCAAGCAGGTCTCTGGTTCAAATCCCAGTCCAGGGGCCTTTCTGGGTGGAGTTTGCATGTTCTCTCCGTGCATGTGTGGGTTTTCTCCAGGCGCTCCGGTTTCCTCCCATAGACCAAAAACATGCGATTGCTGAAAGGTAACTCTAAATTGTCCTTAGGTGTGAGTGAGAGAGTGAATGGTTGTTTGTCTCTGTGTGTCCCTGTGATGGACTGGAGACCTGTCCAGGGTGTACCCCGCCCCCCGCACAGTGATTGCTGGACATGGGCACCGGCGACCCCTGTGACCCAAAATGGAATAAGCGGGTTAAGATAATGGATGGATGCTTAATTTTTTAAGTTCATAGTGATTTTAACAAAAAACATTTTTCAAATGTTTTTAAGTAAAAACATTAGTCCTTTGTATTAAAATGGATTTTTTTCCCATTCACTACAGAAATCATTAAGTGTCGATTGCTCGTTAAAGAAACAAAATAAAAACCTGAACCTGATATAAAAACATCTGACGTATTAAAGCAAACTCAAATCTAGAGAAAGGAAGTGTGGAATGAAAACTATATATTTTTTTAAATATCACATGTTTCCTGTCATGCAAAGGAGCACGGGAAGTACCTGCAGAAAGTTCTGTAGCACTTCTGGGTCGATGCAGGAATTGTTTAACAGGAAGTGCGTGGATTTATTCTGCAGAGAGCTCAGCAGGCTCGTGTGCTCGTCCTCTTCTAACGGGGCCTCCAGTGCCTGAAACACCACGGCGCCCAGCACCAAGTACAGGATCACCATGGTGAAGATGGCAAGCAGGGTGGAGCAGCGCATGGCTGCACCTCCACTCAGTCCGAACGCAGCCTGCTTCTTCTCTGGGCCGACCTCAGCCCTGACCGGGGCTCGATCCCAGCTGCTGCAGCTGAAACATCACCAACCACAAAAAGCACATCCAGTTAAATCGACTCAGACCTCACTGCAGTGCTGAGGCAAAAGAAAACGTAACAAGCAAGACAAGAGCTTATCAGTCCTGCGTCGGACAAATAAAAAAATACCATGAACACACAGACAGACGTAACACAACAGCTGACCTCACCTGTCAGTGCTCTTTGTCTGCCCAGGCCTTCGTCTTTTCCAGTCTCTCTCTGGACCAGCTCTGATGATTGAGTCCCTGGATCCGTACCCACTAGGGAACCCGTCCCCCTCAGACTCTAAAGGAGGGGACACTGGACAGAACCACACACAAGGGTTTTTATATCAGATCAGATCTAAATTTAACCCGAATGTTTACCCCGACTGTCGATGTGGCTTTTCAGGAGATGCTCGTCTGAAACTGGAAGAGAAATGTTTGAAAGTACGAGTGTGGTTGGGTGATGGCCATCGTGACTGGCTCAAACCAAAAGTACCAGCCAAAGCCAAAAGATAAAAGTTTTTGCCTCTGTGTGTGCATTTCTCTGTCTGTTTCCTGAAATATCTCGTGAACCACTGCCCAGAATTCAATTGAACTTCCAGAAAATAATCACTGAATGCACATTTACAGCTGATTAACTTTAGGAGTCACTCTAAATCAAGAATGGCAGCCACAGCCAACTGTCCTTAGCCAGCAAAAAAAAAAAAAAAAGGGTTTAACTCAGTCAAATAACAAAAAAAAAAATTTAAACCAAAGTACAACATTTCTGCAGCTGAAGACGTTTTGCGTCCCATCATTGAGATTTCTCATTACACCACGTCCTGGATTACTGAGACGCCACAACTGCCTATAACTCAGTCACATGTAGATATGCTGAGCTAAAAGTGGGTGTGGTAGTAGCTGAGAGTCATCTCAAACACATACCATGAGCACTCTTTCATCGCACTTCACCATGTTACCTTCAGGTTTGACCAAAACTGACAGGACTCCATCATGTGTCAGCACAAAGTGATCTTACTTTAAAACTTTGGCGTGGCAGACGATGTGCATTCCTTCTAAGAAATGCTAGGCCCTTCATTTTACACTGAAACCCGAGGAAGTGACCGTGCACCGAGTCACAGCTAACTTGTTAAAGCAGCCCTGGATGTGTCAAATGCTCCATTTGTTCCAGAAATCTATAAACGATCCAACAAGAAAAGATCATAGACCACTGGAACGCAAACCAAAAGAAAAACCTGATTCAAGTCCTTTTAATTTTGTCAAATGTGGCTCTTCAGTCAGCAGATCTGTTGGTCCCGGTCCAAAATCAAAGCGGCAAACTGGCGGACCTACACTGGAACCAGTTTTATAGCTGCTGGGATATAAAACAGGGACGATCCACTTACAGAATGAAGCAGCTCTCAAAGACAAACTGGCAACAAAAAAAAAACAAATTTAAATATATATTTTCACAAAATGATCTAGAACGGCACAATATATTTATTTGTAACTGAAATCACAGTAATGGGAAACATTAATCCACACTTTAATTATGAAACACTAAATTTCAAATCTGAAACTTGAATCCGACTAATCTGCAGTTTGTCTTCTGGACCCACACCTTAAACCAACGCTCAGTGGCAGACGGTTGACAGAAGCAAAGTGTAATAAGCATTGCATTAAGTGCCAGCAGGGCTGCTGCAGCAGTAAGAATGCAGACAGACATAATGATCCACTTTCACTGCCACTTAGACTTCCTTTGAATCCATAAGATTCATGAGTCGGATCAATGCTGCAGGCAGTCTGGCTCACATGTGCTTACCTCAGACAGAAGGATCATGGGAGAGCAGCGGCAGCCACGTCGTGCAGGGCGTCCCATCTCCAGCTGCATGCAGAGTGTGTGCATGAGGAGTGTGTGAGGAGGAGAGGTTTGTGCTGAGCGCACAAGAGACCAAAAGGCACTCAATCAAACGGACTTTATGTCAAGCGGGTGAGAGAGGGATGTGAAGAGGATGAGATCTTAAAGGTTTCAGATGGAGTCACACTGAAACACAATGTGTGTGTCATCATGTTACTTTCATTTAGATGTTTCTTCTTGTGTCAGTCTGCAAAGACTGGCTGTAGGAAAAGGAGAAACACCACGCTGGCTCGAGTGTCAGTGTTACTGCTGGATCAATTTTTGAGTCATTGAAGTTTTGCTGGTGTTAATTTGTCGGCTCTGCATGAGAAGGCCCGCTCAGCCGCACCTCACTCAGACCTCACAACCAGGACTGACGACAGCTGCTGATGTTTTGTGCATGTCTTTGGAGTTAATCATCAAGTTGAAATATTCAAGAACCCAAATGTTTATGCTCAATTTTAACAGGCTCTTTGAGGGTTTGAGTTAGAACTAAAGAAGTTGGATGTAATGAATGAGGTTAGTGAATAGTTTGTGTCAGTGGAAATGTTAAATGTATACACAAGATCATAAGTTGGAAGTTGAAGCCACAAAGAACTAGAGCCCCCTAGTGGATGACTGTAGTACAAACAAGTCCCCCTCCCAACTATTTTAATAGGAAAAAAAACTTTATCCTCAACAAAAAAATAGTAAAATACAGTAGTCCCTCGTTACTTTGCAGTTCGTTTTTCGCGTATTCACTCTATCTCAGTTTTTCAAAGTAAGATTGGACATGACACACAATTGGCCGATTGATGGATGAGCCGCACGATCGATATGGAATTTTTATTTAAAGTAAATTATTTTAAATTGTTTAGCATCTGCTGCACCTGTGTGCAGTCCACAGCTCCGGAGTTCCCTCTTGCAGCTGATCAGCTGATCTTCATTCTGCTGAGGAGAAGTGGGCGTGACCGAGAGCTCTGGCAGAGTGCAGCAAGAGGCAGAGAACAGAAATCATGACATGCTGTGCTCTTTTAGAGCGTTTAGAGTTTAAAAACATTAGAATATTGCAAGAGTGTGGGACGTGTTTAAAACTGATATATATATATATATATATATATATATATATATATATATATATATATGTATATATTTATATATATATACCCCACCCTGGGCTGCCACCTTACCGTGGTGGAGGGGTTTGAGTGTCCCAATGATCCTAGGAGCTATGCTGTCAGGGGCTTTATGCCCCTAGTAGGGTCACCCATGGCAGACAGGTCCTAGGTGAGGGACCAGACAAAGTGCAGCCCAAAGACCCCAATGATGAGAAACACAAATGGACCTAGTGTTCCCTTGCCCGGACGTGGGTCACCGGGGCCCCACTCTGGAGCCAGGCCTGGAGGTGGGGCACGCGGACGAGCGCCTGGTGGCCGGGCTTTTACCCATGGAGCTCGGCCGGGCACAGCCCGAAGAGGAGACGTGGGTCCCCCTTCCCATGGGCTCACCACCTGTGGGAGGGGCCAAAGGGGTCGGGTGCAATGTGGGATGGGTGGTGGCCGAGGGCGGGGACCCTGGCGGTCTGATCTTCGGCTACAGAAGCTGGCTATTGGGATGTGGAATGTCACCTCACTGGTGGGGAAGGAGCCTGAGCTGGTGTGTGAGGCTGAGAGGTTCCGGCTAGAAATAGTCGGACTCACCTCTACGCATGGCTCGGGCTCTGGAACCAGTTTCCTCGAGAGGGGCTGGACACTCTTCCACTCTGGAGTTGCCCCTGGTGAGAGGCGCCGAGCAGGCGTGGGCGTACTTATTGCCCCCCAACTTGGTGCCTGTGTATTGGGGTTCACCCCGGTGAACGAGAGGGTGGCCTCCCTCCACCTACGTGTGGGGGGACGGGTTCTGACTGTCGTTTGTGCCTATGTACCAAACGGCAGTTCAGATTATCCACCCTTTCTGGAGTCCTTGGAGGGGGTACTGGAAAGTGCACCTTCTGGGGACTCCCTTGCTCTGCTGGGGGACTTCAATGCTCATGTGGGCAATGACAGTGAGACCTGGAGGGGTGTGGTTGGGAGGAACGGCCCCCCTGATCTGAACCAGAGTGGTGTTCTGTTGTTGGACTTCTGTGCTCGTCATGGATTGTCAATAACGAACACATTGTTCAAGCATAAGGGTGTCCATATGTGCTCTTGGCACCAGGACACCCTAGGCCGCAGTTCGATGATCGACTTTGTCATCGTCTCATCTGATCTGCGGCCACATGTCTTGGACACTCGGGTGAAGAGAGGGGCGGAGCTGTCAACTGATCACTACTTGGTGGTGAGTTGGCTCCGATGGTGGGGGAGGATGCCGGTCAGACCTGGCAGACCCAAACGTATTGTGAGGGTTTGCTGGGAACGTCTGGCAGAGTCTCCTGTGAGACGGACTTTCAACTCCCACCTCCGGGAGAACTTTGAACATGTTCCGAGGGAGGTGGGGGACATTGAGTCTGAGTGGACCATGTTTCGTGCCTCTATTGTCGAGGCGGCTTACCAGAGCTGCGGCCGCAAGGTTGTCGGTGCCTGTCGCCGCGGCAACCCTCGAACCCGATGGTGGACACCGTCGGTGAGGGATGCTGTCAGGCTGAAGAAGGAGTCCTATCGGGCCTTTTTGGCCTGTGGGACCCCGGAAGCAGCTGATGGGTACCAGCAGTCCAAGGGACATGCGGCTCGGGTGGTTGCTGAGGCAAAAACTCGGGCATGGGAGGAGTTCGGAGAGGCCATGGAGAACGACTTCCGCACGGTTTTGAGACGATTCTGGTCCGCCATCCGGCGTCTCAGGGGGGGAAAGCGGTACGCCACCAACACTGTTTATAGTGGGGGTGGTGTGCTGCTGACCTCAACTCGGGATGTTGTGGGTCGGTGGGCGGAATACTTTGAAGACCTCCTCAATCCCACCGGCACGTCTTCCACTGAGGAAGCGGAGCCTGGGGACTCTGGGTCGGGCCCTCCAATCTCTGGTGCTGAGGTCACCGAGGTGGTTAAAAAGCTCCTCGGTGGCAGGGCCCCAGGGGTGGATGAGATCCGCCCAGAGTTCCTTAAGGCTCTGGATGTTGTAGGGTTGTGTTGGCTTACGCGACTCTGCAATATTACGTGGACATCGGGGGAAGTTCCCCTGGATTGGCAGACCGGGGTGGTGGTCCCTCTATTCATAAAGGGGGACCGTAGAGTGTGTTCCAACTACAGGGGAATCACGCTCTTAAGCCTCCCTGGTAAGGTCTATTCGGGGGTTCTGGAGAGGAGGGTCCATCGGATAGTTGAACCTCGGATTCAGGAGGAACAGTGCGGTTTTCGTCCTGGCCGTGGAACACTGGACCAGCTCTACACTCTCAGCAGGGTCCTGGAGGGTGCGTGGGAGTTTGCCCAACCAGTCTACATGTGCTTTGTGGACTTGGAGAAGGCGTTCGACCGCGTCCCTCGGGGGGCCCTGTGGGGGGTACTCTGGGAGTATGGGGTACCGGGTCCTTTGATACGGGCTGTTAGGTCCCTGTATGACCGGTGTCAGAGCCTGGTCCGCATCGCCGGCAGTAAGTCGGGCTTGTTCCCGGTGAGAGTTGGACTCCGCCAAGGTTGCCCTTTGTCACCGATTCTGTTCATAACTTTTATGGACAGAATTTCTAGGCGCAGCCAAGGTGTTGAGGGGATCCGTTTTGGTGGCCTTAGGATTGCGTCTCTGCTTTTTGCAGATGATGTGGTCTTATTGGCTTCATCAGATCGTGATCTACAGCTTTCGCTGGAGCGGTTCCCAGCCGAATGCGATACGGCCGGGATGAAGATCAGTTCCTCCAAATCCGAGGCCATGGTCTTGAGCCGGAAAAGGGTAGAGTGCCCTCTCCGGGTCAGGGAGGAGGTCCTACCCCAAGTGGAGGAGTTCAAGTATATTGGGGTCTTGTTCACGAATGAGGGAAAAATGGAGCGTGAGATCGATAGGCGGATAGGTGCAGCGTCTGCAGTGAAGCGGGCGCTGTACAGGTCTGTCGTGGTGAAGAGAGAGCTGAGTCAAAAGGCGAAGCTCTCAATTTACCGATCGATCTACGTTCCCACCCTCATCTATGGTCACGAGCTTTGGGTTGTGACCGAAAGAATGAGATCTCGCATACAA